GTACTGGACTGAAAGTTGTTTCCACTTGACTGATCAACACCACAAAGAAAATCCTCTGCCGCCCTCCTTAGCCAACCTCTGTTTCAGGCACATCAAAATCAACACTGGGATGGACAGCACCCATACTGTCTATAAGTGTCACTTGAAGGAAAAGATGCATTCCCAAACATAACCTCATATATATATACATATGTATGAAGCAAACCAGTTCTGCTTCCACATGACCCTTTTGGATATTCTCCAGCTGCTATCTGCAAGCCCCTCCTGTTGCAGCACAACAAAGACGTCTCTTCCAGTAGGAGCGCCAAGTGTCACACATCTTGTGTGACACACCTTTGGCTGCCCTTGCCTTGCACCCACAGCCTGCCCAGGCATCACGCATCAACACTTAGCTCATATTTATGTCTTCTGGCCAGCAGACCCAATCCAGAGCTTAATGCACACACAGGAAAGTGTCCTGCTGCTGGCCGTCAACAGCCACATCGTGGCAAATCTAAAAACCAAACTTCTCGATTCTCACTGAACCCGCATGCCCCACTGCAGTGAGCTCCTGAGGCAGGAGCCTCCCACCTCAGCAATGCTTTCACACTCAACCCTTACAGTGCGTCTCCTACCTTCCAGGAGACGCTCTTTCAAACCTCTGCAGCATCTCTAATCGTTGAGACAACCAAAATGCATTAACTCCAGTAGCCAGCATCTTTGAGCACATCATTACCATTGCCTCTGAACCCTTAAACCTCTGTTACATCCCAGCCATAAAACATCACCCGTGTAAACTCATGTGTCACTCATGTCAGACTGCGTATCAATTGCAAGGATCACCACAGTGACAGCTTGCAACATCAACTTTTTCCACCCCCCATCAGCTGTGGATATGAGATGACCAAAGGGACCAGAAATATCCTTTACACACAGCTCTGATTTGAAGTAGATTCTTCTTATGGCAGCTGGACCCACACATTTAGCATGAAGAATTTCACCAGAATTAAGGGCACACAACCAATCTTGAGGCACAATGTCCTCAAAGCAAAAGAAAGGATTTTTGTGTGATTCACAAGCAGAATGTGAAGCCTGACCCAGCTCCATTTCATTTACTGAATTTGAGAAGCAGTCTATTAATAGTTCACTACCATATCCCTGCCCTGCTTCTCCATGCCAGGGCAACAGCTCTGCTAGCAAACACCAGTGATACAGGCACACATTTTCATACTGACACTGTAGAACACAGCTAATCCCAATTGTTTCAATTTAAACAGAAGTCATATTCACAAGAATTAACTGGAAACAGACAAAATTGGTCTTGAACTTCACTTAGTGTGAGCAGACAGCAATACCAGACTCAAGCTTTCAGATATAGTCTCGGTCTCTTTTCTTCTCTCAGATTTTCTAAATTATTCTGTGCATTTACACTACAAAGTCTATCTGGCCAATAAATTACCAGCATAGATAGTAACCTGCTACTATTTCGACATCAGATGAATGCTGCCAGCCAGCAAGGACACTAACAAAAGCCAAACTACCACACTACTTGAAATCCTGGAGTTACTACCCTTTTCAGGAAAAAAAAAACCCTGGAATTTTGATACAGGAGCATAAGACTGTGATGATCACCAGGCATCCCACACCTTCCTGCGAGAGCAGGATAAGACAGCCCAACCTTTCCCCATTTCTCAACAAAAAAAAATTAAAATTAAATACAGTGGTGGTATTCACAGTCCAAGCAAGAACCATAAAGTACAATGGGGCCTCTGCATTTCACAATACCAGGTCTGACTCTTTACAGGGTCCCTATATATTCCCAAAGGGAAACATGATGGGATTTTGAAACCATTAATCTAACTAAACAGAATATTTGGCTTGCAAGCAGGGGAGTGGTAAAGCCTGTATTCCTTATTCATGACCCAACACTTTACTCAGGAGTGCAACGCTGTAATACTGTTATGCCAAAGCCTCACCACACAGTGACTGTACACCATCAATTAATATTAATTATAGCTTCTGAAAACCTTGGAATGCAAACCCTTCCAAAACTGCAAGGGCACACTAATCCTGCTCTAGCACTTCAGCTTCATGAAGGAACAATAGCCTTATTTTCTAGCTAGAATTCAACTACAGCTTTCACCTCTTCAGACAGGTCTAAAGCCCAGATCATTTGGCTAGCACTTGGGTCCCGCCCTCATCAGAGCTATGACTTCAGTTCTGAACCCTAAAGCCGTCTTTTCAATGAAATAAAGCCACTGAACAAGAATAGCTTGCGAGGCCTTTGTACAGATGGACAAAGACACACAGGCAACAGCACAAGTGGGCTGAAAAACCGCTGAGCCAGGACAGGATTAATGCCTGCATGGAACCTCAATGCTGTCCACTTTCATTTCCCCGCTCCAAGTGAAAAAAGCACAAGTGCATCTCCACAAAAATACTACAGGTTGCAGCAATTTTTCCACAAAAAGGCTCTGGCCTGGGTTTTGATGGTGTGAGGCTGCAGAGGAAGGCATTTTGTCTCTTAACAGCATGGTGATATGATGGCTTCCATTCAGTCTCCTGTTACCTATAGGGAACTTCAAATTTGTGCAGAGAAACACAAATGGGGCAGATCTAACTGACACAGCTCACAATAAAAAATTTTAAAAAAAAAAGCCCCCCAACAGCCATGAATAAAGTGATTTACTTGACAGCATCCTCTGTATGTTTTCCCTAAAACTCCCCAGCTGAACTGAGAGCATTCTACAAGGCAAAGAGACAACACAGCCATTCACATCTTCTCCCATTGCCTCTTCCATGCAAATCCAGTCCGGAGGCACAGGCTTTAATCCTGTAGTCGTTAAAGGCTTTTGTCATTCAATGAGGCTTTCCCAATCCAGACCCAAGTATTGGCTTCTAAAGTCACATACCATCTCACATTACCTTCGGCATCACTCAAAACTGCACACAGTAGAGTTTAAGGGACCCAGCAGCCCCTACCTCCAAGAGATTCACACCAATTTCTCTAAAGCAGCCAAACAATAGTTTTCTTTCCACAATTAGGAGCCTAAAGCAAATCCTGTATGAAATTGAAAATATCTAGCAGTAAGATCTGATTTGGGCTGAAGCACATATAGTGAAAACTAATAGGAATTTGAGCATTGTACAGATTTCTTCACACACAGTCAGTACAAGAATTCCTAAACAAGTGTAATTAAGAATATGAAGGCCATTCACCAGGTAAGAAAGCTTTCACGCTGCAGTTTTCCCTTCCTAATCTCTTCCTTAGGTGTACATGATCCAGACTAGCACTTCCAAGCAGTGTTCACCAATACCTTTGGCAGGCTTTGGTCCTTAAAGCTGCTCCATTACAGAAAATACATGGAAAATCCCTTTCTGTCAACCCCCTGCTAGAGCCCTCTGAGAAAACCTGGCATCGTGCTGAATTCTGGGTCCGTGCTATGGCTCTGCAGTGATGGGGCTGGCCTGGGCTGCATGGACTGACAGGAGCAGCATCAGCCTCTTCCAATCTGCCCTCCAGCAGCACCCCAGCCACCATCCCTCGTGGATTTCAGGCTGCTGAAGAAGAAGCCTTATACACATCGGATTCAGTTCCCAGCAAAGCCAGACAAAAGCCCAGGCCTGCCCCCAGGCTTTCCTCCACCAGCTCTCTTTTAAATCCCCTTAACAATCCCCCAGACCCCCCCTTTCCCCACAAACCCACCAGGACCCCAGGGCTGGAGGAGAGAGGGGTTCAGCCCCTCACCACCAGCCCTCCATACCTTGCCCGACTGCTGTGTCTCCCATTCTGCATCCCTGTCTGATAAAAGCTGGGGAATGCACGACTATGAAGACTGAGAAGTGTTCCCCATAATTCTTATTAAGAGAGCACTGCTGCAGTGAATTATGATTATGTTGTGTAATGAAATCATCAGAGAATAAAGATGTGACTGTATATCCATCCCCAGCTATCCCAGGCAGCCAGGAGTAATTTACAAATAGATTGGGCCAACATTTAAATATAAACAACCAAGAGCTTAGATGTACAATAACACGTTATTTCCATATCAGTTTCAAATACTCTTGTAGGCCATAAAGCTCAGCCATCCAATGGAAGTTTAAAGATCCCAAATCATAAGAGTTAAACCTCCTTTCACCTAAGTTACAGAGTAACTCAGGCTGAAAAAAAAAAACAGTATCAATTCTGTATTAGGTTTTTCTATTAGGTCTCATTCCAATGGATGCCAACAAAAGTGAGGTAGCAGGCACTATAAGCAAAAAAAGAAAAAAATAGGCATGTACTACTGTGATTTTTACTAAATGCTACAAAATCCACCAAGAATAGGGTAACAGCAAAAGACAGCATCTAAACTTTCATTCTCTTTAGATATTACTGGATGATACTACTTCATTCTGAAGATCTGGAACTTTAATGTAAAAATCTGCCTTTTCAAAGGTATTTGGACAGATAAGTCTTTGACCTAACCAAAGTACTGTAAACGTGGTACCTAGAAAAGGACAATCACCGGGGCATATTAGGTTTGATTCACCAGGACAGTGACAATTTCATGGCAGGGGAGAGGGAAGGTCGGGGGGAGCAGCTTCTCAGCTTTATGAAGCCATAACACAAAAGGAAATTTTCCCCCTGCAAACGCTCTCAAATCACTGACTGTCGGTGTCATTTTAACCGGGAGCTGCCGCCCGAGAAGGGGCTGGGGCCGGGCCGAGCATCCCCGCTCCGCCCTTTCCCACGCCGCGGGAGCCACGCGTGACCTTCGCTGCACCAGGCGGGTCCTGCGAGGCCCCCGCGGCGGCAGCGACGCCGGGCCGAGGGGGTTAAGCGTGGGAGGAGTGTACATAAGGTGGTGGATCCAGAGCCAATGGGGATATTGCGCTATAGTTAGACACTGGATTCTAAGCGATGGTGACCATAAAGGCTGCTCAGGGCTGAGCTGCTCTGAATGACACCAGCACGGCGCCTTTAGTTCCCGGCTTATAAGGCAGAAAAAAAAAAGCACAGGAAGATCAGCTAGGCTTACCTGCAGTTCACACCACGCGACTTCGACCCACGTCTCCGTGTCCAGACCCTTGTAGACCGTTTTGAAGGATCCCCGCCCGAGTTCAATATCAAACTTTAGGAACCTGCCATCCGGCGAGGTGGCAACCGCTTTCATATCAGCCTCCTCCTCGGGCTCCTCTTTCTTAGCCTTGCCCTGGTCCTTGGCAGCATCCTGCGCCTCTCTCCGCTCCACATCCTTGCCTGGCTCCTTCTGCTCCTCGGCGCCCGCGGTGCTGCCCGCGGGCGGCGTTGCCCGCGGCTCCCCGGAGCACTCGGCCTCCCGGCCCGCCGCCTCCGCCGCCCCCTGCCCCGCCTTCGCCCTCTCCGCGATTATCCTCCTGGTTTTGGGGAGCAGGATGATTCTCCGCTGGTGCTCCGCCTCGGGCAGGTCGAAGGCGGGCTCCTCCTGGTCCGAGTCCACCACGCTCCTCCGCAGGAACCGCTGATGGACCAGCTTGGGGTCCCTGGAGCCGGGGCCGCGAGGAGGCGGGGTGGGGGCCGCGGGGGCTGCCGGCGCTGCAGCAGCGTCCGTGTCTGCGGCCGCCCCGCTCCCCCCGCCGCCGGGCCCATCCATGTTCACGCCGGTCTCCGCGGCCGGGGGAGCGCCGGGCTCGGCAGCCGCTGGAACCCCGCCACGGCCGCCGCCTCTGCCGCTCCGCCGAGGTGCCGCTCTGGCATCACCCCCACTTTCCATCCGGGCCGAGGGCTCAGCGCCCGCCGCCGCCCCGGCCCGGGGGAGTCACCGCGAGCCGCGCCCGCGCCGCCACCTGCGCGGGGCAGAGCGCAGCCCTGAGGCGCCGCCACGGCCCGGCCCGGCCCCCGGGCACCTCCCCCGGCCCCGGGGCTCCGACGAGCCGGGCCCCCGGGCCGGGCCGCGGCCGCTCTGACCGGGCTCCCCCTTGTCCCCGGTGCCCGGCAGGGGCGCGGCCGAGAGCGCCAGACGACCGGTGCAGCCCCTCACCTGCGGCGGGCCCGCGCACAAAGGCGCGGCCGGGCCGTTACTTACGTGCGGAGCCGGGGGCTGCCGCGCTCAGCGCCATGCGCGGGGGAAGGCGGGCGGCGGAGGAGGGGCGGCTCCGCCGAGCGTGCGCCTGCCCGGGTGCGCGGCGGGGCCGGGGACCCGTTGCCGGTGCGGCGCTCCGCGGCACGGCGCGGCTCGGCTCGGCCCGCCCCTGCGCCGCAGCCCGCCCCCGCCGCAGCGCCGGCCCTGCCGCACCTCCCGCTCCACGCCCGGCGGCTCCGCGCCCCTGCCCGCGGGCACCCTGCGGCAGCCCCGCCGCGCCTCCGCCCGCTGCCGCTTTTTTGTCAATGGCAGAGCTCCCGGGCAGCGCCCATTTAGGGCACCGGCGCTCGGCGACCGCCAATGAGGCTGCAGAGGGTGGGCGGCCGCCCCTCGACCTCGGCCCCCTTTTCCCCCGCCCCTCCCGGCCCCGCCGCAGACAATGGGAGGGTCCCGCGCCCCGCCGCTGCCTCGCTCCGCGTCCGGCAACGTCCGCCCCTTGGCAGGTGCCCCCACGGGCCCGAGAGCATCCCCCGAGAGCGTCCTCCCATGGCATCCTCCCGACAGGCATCCCCCGAGTGTATCCCCTCCAGAGCATCCCGCCGAGAGCATCCCCCGAGAGCCTGCCCTCCACAGCATCCCTCCCAGAGCATCCCCCGAGTGCATCACTCCCAGACATCTCCCCCAGAGCATCTCCCTGAGCGCTCAGTGCCCACGCAGGTGTGGGATGAATGCAGGGCGCGGGCCTCAACTCCCTCTGATTTCTGGATCCAGGAGGTGGCTGTCCCAAGAAGCCGATTATCATGCCTGCGAGTAAAGGGAAGGTGACTTGAAGGGAACTGGATACTATTTGCACACAGCATCTTTGCATCAGCATCCCTCAAATGCAAAATGTGACCAGGGACCGACTCACACGTGGCCACTGCAAACACCACACAGCCCACCCATGTACTGCGTGGCAGGTCACAACACATGACAAGCCTCACAACCTTGGGTTATCTGTTATCTTTTTTGTGGTTTTTTTCCTTTATTCCAGGCAGTTCAATAATCAGTCTATGGATATTGACCCCATCATTCACTGTGACCAACACTTCAAATTAGCCTAGATAGAGGGAAACTTTGATCTCGACACCCATCTGTGCTTCGAAGAACCCACCTGGAGCACTGCCTCCAGTTCTGGGGGCCTCAGCACAAGAAGAATATCAACCTGCTGGAGCTGGTACAGAGGAGGCCACAAGAATAATTGGAGGGCTGGAGCCCATCTGCTCTGGAGACAGGCTGGAAGAGCTGGGGGTGTTCACCTGGAGAAGAAGGGCTCCAGGAGAGCTGGAGAGGGACTTTGGGCAACAGCCTAGAGGGCCAGGACAAAAGAGAGTGGCTTCCCACTGCCAGAGAGCAGGGTTAAATGGGATATGGGGAAGGAATTATTGCCTGTGAGGATGGGGAGGTCCTGGAAGAGGTTTCCAAGAGAAGCTGTGGCTGCCCCATCCCTGAAAATGTCCAAGGCCAGTTTGGATGGGGCTTGGAGCGTCCTGGGATAGTGGAAGGTGTCCCTGCCCATCGCAGGGTTAGGAATGAGATGGGCTTTAAGATTTCTTCCAACCCAAACTTCTGTAATCCATCTTTAGGTGAGGTTAGAGATGTGGGACACTGGCTTTGCCAAAGGCTGTGCCCTGTAACAGCTGTGACATTTCTGCTCTGTAAATTCACAAAAGGACTCTGGTTGCCACTACTGCCAAGCTGCTTTCTCAAGTATTAGGTTCATACAAACATACCATATGTTTTTGTTATTAAAATTTAAAGAAATAAAGAAAAATAAAAAGATAAGTTTTACCAAGTAAAATCCCTGAGATTTCTGAGGGAAAGGAAGTTGACTGTCAGGCAACCATAATTAGTTCTTCTTTTAATTAATTAATTTTCAGTCAAGAATGATTTAAAAAAAAAACCTTTAAAATAAGAAACTGGGTAGTTATTGTACTGGTGTTTTATTTTTCACACTTCACTAATAATTCAGCCTCATGGATGCATTTGATCTTTCAGTGGTTTGCTTTTTGAAGTGTTCAAATATCAGTGATATTTCTAGGGCTTGCAATTGTGGCATGAAACACGGATTTGTGTGCTGTATAGAAACCCGAATTCCCGAATATTAGTCTTATATGCTGGGCTCTGCACCTCTCTGCACAAATGGAGGTTTGGTACACGGAGAGCAGTCTGCAGTTACCAGGAGAAAAGGGGAAGAGCTCTGACACCTTCTCCTACTTATTACATAAATTGACCTAAAACTCTCTTCAGAGCAACAGAAATTCCCACCAACATGTAGAAAAAGAATAAGTTTCAGGGTAATTAGAGGGCTAAACGTAGCTGGCAGCATTTCACTCTGCAGGTGGACAGGATAAAATGGGAATATTCTAGAGCTGACCAAATACCAACGCCAAAACCCACAATCAAGAAAAATATGGGGGAGGGGAGGGCGGGGGGGGGGGGGGGGGGCGGAAGAAGACTGGATTTCCCTGGCTGCCAGGTCTTGCAAGAAGAAAGAGGGAATCTGTACACCCTCAGGTGTAGGGAACATCCCACCTCTGCCTCAGGAAGATACATGAGCACTGCCATGCTGCACCAGTGTCCCCTCACCCCTTCCCAGGGCTCCACATACAAAACAAGACCTGTTCTCACAGCTGAGTTTTTGTGCTGTCCAGTGCCACATGGTGCCCAGGGCTTTTCCTGTGTCCATATGTCTACTGAAAACTTAGGAATAATTTGCATGTCACAAACTTAATCATGATCCACTATCAAGTGCTCTAAGTCTGTTACATGATGATCTTTAATATTCTAAAATGGAAAGAAAATGCTTCTTGCCAGACAGCTGTTTGACCTTTTCCACGCTGCCCTCTGCCTGCTCCACGTCCCCAGGTGAGTGAGCTGGGCAGAGGTGTGACAGCACGGGGCACCGCGGGACCGGGCTCCACACCCCACTCAGGCAGTGCCACACCTGCAGAGCAGCATGGCACAGCATGGGCAGCTGTGGGACTGGCCCCAGTCTGATCCAGCACTCCATGGCAGCAAACAATGGCCCATCCCAGCAGAGGGATGCTACCCAGTAGACAGAGAACTTTTCCTCAGCCATCAGGAGCTGTCATCCCAGCCTTCCCGAATGTCAATGACCACAATGGACACACAGCCATGGAGGGATCCAGTGCCTAGTTCTGCCATGTCCTGTGCAGTCCCAAGCCAGTCCCCTGTCCCAAGTTCATGCCTGATGGGTGAGGAATGCTCAGCAGGCATATGGGGTGGGCTGCAATGGCACCCAAAGTACAGACTGGGACACTCTGCTTCTGCCATCTACCCAAAGCCCCCAGCACTGGGAACAGTCACCTACAAGCTACCTTTCCATAAGGGAGAATGTCCGTCCTGGGCAGGGGACCTCACACTGGAACAGGCTGCACAGAGAGGGTGCAGAGTCTCCCCCACTGGGATACTTCAGAGCTGTCTGTGGACACAATCCTGTGCTCCAGAATGTCTCTGTTTGAGTAGGAGCACCTGGTGACCCACTGTGGTCCCCTCCAACCTTCTCCACCTTGTCATGAGCTATTTTATGGGGTTGCCTCTACTTTCCTCAGTTTACCCAAAACAGAAGCCTGTTATTGATTTTCCTGCTCACCTGTTTCAGCCTGTGCAAGCCAGCAGACACACAGACACAAGGATGTTGTTCTACCCACACAGCTTACTACATCAGTGTGCTGTGTTACCAAAGGGCATGAAAAAAGATGAACAGTTGCAGTTTTCCTGAATGTTGGATCATCAGCCATCATCAGAGCAAGCTAGAAGCAGCTTCACCCTTCAGAGCTGACTGGTATGCAGAGGGCATTGGAAATTATAGCATGTTTCAACTAACAGGCAGCGAAGGTGTTACCTCAGACTGTGACCTTAATCAAGCCTTTGACTTGGAGAACTGCTCCTTGCAGGAATGAAAGGATGCTCATCCCTCCGGTGAAGTTCTCCCTCCATGCACGGTGCTGAGTGAGACACATGTCACCCCAGAGCACAGATGGGCATTTGCACTTGACAAGCAGATTACCACTGGTCTGTCTTTGACTCGCCTCACTTCTGGCAGGAACAGTCAGTCACTCACTGACACAGAGCAGGACAGCTTGTCCCAGTTAATAGCTAGTGTTAGTTTTAAAAGGGAGAAGAAGAACCATTTTCACTTAAAAACAGCCCTTATTTTCCTTCCATGTTTGTTAGTTTCGAGTGAGGAAGTTCAGTCCTGTTCAACCAGCTTGCCTTTCAGGTTCTCAGATACTGAGAAATTTTTTATTTGTTTAAAATAAATGCTTTCAGGACACCATGGAAATCTCTGTACTGGCCTCCAGTTTTCTATTAACTCAGTTTTTTATATAATTTATGACCAGATTGAATCAGGTCAAACACCCATTGAGAGCTACTTTCAGTTGCACCCAGGGTATGCTCTTACACCTGCACATGTGCTATGGGCCCTAATGTAGTGTTATGTAGTAATTGTTTTTTTCTTAGAAAGAACAATAATGACCATTTAAAAACCCAACTTCACAATATATTCTCCGTTAGGTCATCTGTGTTCTGTTCTAATAATTTGTTTATAGAGACTGTAGATACAGTGGTCCAAGTATCATAGAATCCTAGAATCCTGAAAGGATTCAAGGTCATCTCATTCCACCCCCTGCCATGGGCAGGGACACCTCCCACTGTTCCAGGCTGCTCCAAGCCCCATCCAGTCTGACCTTGGACACTGCCAGCGATCCAGGAGCAGCCAGAGCTTCTTGGGAAACCTGTGCCAGGGCCTCCTCACCTTTATAGTAAAGAACTTCTTCCTAAGTATCAGTTGATCTCAATTTGATGGTTGGACTTATGTTAAAGGTCTTTTCCAACCTTAATGACTCTGATTCCATGATACTCAGTCATTGAGTTAATACAAACTAATCACAAAAGCATAAACAAGCGTCTCTTTATGTCAGAATGATGGATGCTGTTGGCAAACTCACCTTGCAGGTCAGGGAGCCAGGCAAGGGCAGGGAGCAAGCGGTGGGAAGGTGTGTGCCACCCTCCTCAGGAGGGGCTGGGCTCCGTTTATCTTTCTTTGCCCTGCAGTGTGACACTGGTACAACACATCATTCTAACATGCATGACAAGCTTAGACAGAAAAAAATGTTCCATGTTTTTAATTCCTACAGATTTTAATAGGCATAATAATATGCCACCACATTACCTCTCAGGTTCCTTAAATAAACAAGCTTAATGGTGCTGCACAGAAGTTAATGGGCAGTATCTTCATTGCTGTATGGATTTATGAGGTGATTGCTGCTCCCCAGCCCAGGAACCAGCTGTGCCTAGGGAATTGTGTTCAGGCCTCCCTGAAGGGCAGCTTAGTCAGCAAAAACACAGTTATTTTACAATTCCATGATTTACATTGAGCATTATCTCTCCACACCACTCTACAAAGGTGAGATTTATTTTTCAGACAGGCAGCCTGTCATCTTTCCCACACCAAATCTGACCAATGATGAATAGTTGTTTTAAAATTACTGTGTAATTCCAAAGTTTGTACTTAATTATTTATCTGCTTTTCTTTGCCAGAAAACAATGGCTTTCAGCCTGCCATATGCCCAAATGAATGACCCAATTAATTTCCAAATGCTCCTGCGTGGCCACAGGGATTGCAAGAGTTCAAAGAGTAAACTGGGTTTTTTGAAAACCCCTTTCACCTCTTGTGCCATTTCCCGCTATGATCCCTCAGGTACCTTTATAATGAAAACAAAATAGATGGAAAAAGCAATGTAAGAATTAGATCAAAACAAGGAACAGAGCAAAACAGACCAAATCAAGGAGTTGAATGTGACACTTAATAGCACGCTTAGGACTTTCCAAAATGTTAAATATTTAAGTTGAGCAAGTGAATACCTTTTACTTTTTATTTTTAGCATGAAGCTATATTTTATCAAAGAGCCCATCGAACACATTGTGTTACAAAATATGCAGATTTAAGACATAACGACAGTGCCATTATTCCTCTTAACATAAAAGATGGGGCATAAGTTCTAACTTCAATAAGAACATCTGCTGATCTGGTCTCTATGCAACACTGCTCGTTATACTGAGCTCTTTGATCCTGGCTTTTCCATGAACTGAAGAAATGGTGAGAGCACAAAACCTCAGCACAAAATCCTCCCTTCATGCAATGTGCATTTAGCGACAGGCTCATGTCACAAACGAGTTTGAACAGGTGCTGTGCTGTGAGGATTGCACCCATGTGCCTGACTGGTTCCGGTGGCTCTGGACACACCACTGTGAGGAACACCCAAAAGTCACAAGTACCTCTATCATAGCATTAACCTGAAGTTAAAACAATATTTAGAAAGGTTAACCACTAAAGGAATACAGAAACTGTGTCACACACGGATGGCAATGAAAGACCTGTGGAGTCAACACCTGTGCTCCAAACAGCCTTCATCCTCCACCCCCCTCATGAGAAGCCTCCTGTTTAGTACACTGACACTTCATTTTTAAGAGCTTTTAAGTAAGCAGCAAACATCACTAGCTTCCTGAGGGGAGTCACCACATGGACACGCAGAGCTTCAAGCCTGTTTAGGGGTCACAAGGACAAGGAACCTTTTGGAGTCCCAAGGTGACTGAGATACATGACCAGGCCTTTCAGCCAGTGCTGACTGCTCTGCTGGAATCATTGGAAAGCAGGCAGTACATTCAGGATAAATAGGTGCATCCATGGACTCAGTGCTCAGACATGGAGTGTGGGCTACACAGGAGAGGTGGCCTTGTGTCATCTCCTGCAGACGTATGCAGTTGCTTAGTATAATGTTGCTCTTCTCTGTGCTGGATCCCCTGCAAACATCTGAAAAAGCCATAGATTCAGTGAGGTTGGGAAAGCCCTCTAGGGTCATCAAGTCCAACCATTAACCCAGTACCACCTTAATCACCAGTAACCCAAGTGTCACATCTACACATCTGTTAAATCACTTCAGGGATGGTGACTCTGCCATCACCCCGGGCAGCCTGTGCCAGAGCTGGACAACTCTTTCAGTGAAGAAATTTTCCCTATTACCCAATCTAAACCTCACCCAGGGCAACTTGAGGCTGTTTCCTCTTGTCCTGTCACTTGTTAGTTGGGAGAAAAGAAACCCACATCTGGCTACACCCTCCTGTCGGGGAGATGCTGAGAGTGAAAAGGCCTCCCCATGAGCCTCATTTTCTCCAAGCTACCTCAGTTTAAGCTGCATTACAGTTTAAGCTACATGTGTGGCTTTTTTTCTTGTAATAAGAATCAGTGGAGAGCCACTGGTGTGTATGTTCAGAGTCACAGCTACCTCTGAATTGTTTTTAGAGGTCCTAATAGAATATCACTCTTATGCCTTGTAGAATAATACTCCAGAAGAGCAGTATTCAGTATTTGATGAATAAGTATGGCACATTGCTATGTCAAAATTTCCTTCTCATCTGTCAGTCCAACACAACAAAGAAGAAAGTGAGAAATACCACGGTATAAAGAAGCTGCAATTACTGTTTCCAGTTCCCAAGAAGAAGCCAGAAAATCCATTGAAGATCCTACCTCAGACCACAGACAATAGATTCCAGGACTGAGTCCTTTGTTCTTTTTCCTTCTTCTCCCTGATAACAGCAAAAGGCTGCGCATGAACCCTTGATCTCGGGACTCTGCCAAGAGTTGGCATCCTGCATGAGGAGGGTTTAGGAAGAGCCTTTGAGACCTCTCAGTTACAACATACCTCCAAAAATAAAAGCAACATATCTCACTTTGGGTACCAAACATCAAGGTCTGGAGTTCAGGTTCAGATGTTAAAATTCAGTGTTTTCAAAACATCAGATATCATTCATTGGTCAGTAGTATTTGTCTGATAATTTAGAATAAGTGTTGAACAAAAATAAAAACATAGAATTCCATAAGATTTGCAGAGCAAATAATTTATACTTAACAAATAGTTTAGATGACAGCAGAGTGAAATTGGAGCAATGTCCTGAATTTCCAAGTAGGCTCTAAACACAAGACCTATGTCTGAGCCAAGGTCCCAATTCTGGTTTAATTGCACTGACTGGCCATTGATTAAAATGAAGGCAGGATCAGCATGTGATATAATAATTTCCTAGTTTAATTGTGGGTCTGCTCACTCTGCATGTGCTTGTTGAGTAAAAACATGCACTCAAAGGAATGGGGGGTCTCCTACCCAGATACATCCCAAAAATCTGCAAGGGAAATTAAAACATGATTTTTAATCTGAAAAATTAACCAAATGTGACACAATTCTACCCATCTCTTATCCTAGATATCATACATTCAAAGATTCTAAGCCCATATTTTAACTTTCCCCTTGAAATTAGCACACTATATATTTTATTGCTTTTGAGAAGAAGAGATGATTACCAAAGTCATTAGCAGCTAGGCACCAGCACCTTGCTCATTAGAATTTATGGTTTACTTTCTGGGCAGGGATTTGGCCCATTTTCAAGACATAGTGACAACGGGTTGTGTAATTGAAGAGTAAGTTTACAAAATTATGTATGTGAGAGCCAAAATCACTAAGCACCACCAAGTGGCATGAGAGAGAAGGTGTTGCCATAACGTTGAAGCATTAGATGGTTTCAAAGGAACTGATCTCTCTTTATGCTGCCATAATTCAGTCTGCAGCTACCTATGTGGCAGGTGTAGAGCACTGAGGGAGAGATTCCCTGCAATATAATTATTATCCACTATTCAACTTGTGATCCTGCACTGCAGATCCACTCATCCATCCCACAGGTTACCATAGCATCATGGAATGCCCTGAGGTAAAAGAGAGCCATAAGGATCATAAAGTCCAACTCCATGTGTGTCTGTATTTTGAGCTGTGGACACATCATGTCCTTTAAGATGTAGACCATTAGATAAATATTACAAATAAATATTAACAGAAATAACAAGTTCCTTGTTAATAGAGTGCATATTTGTCTACTTTGCTCTACTGCCAAATACTTCAGTGATCTTCTCAGTTGAAAACCACATATTAAGAACACCTGCGTGTTAAAGGTAATTTTGGCAAACATGTGGTAAATGTTTTTCATGCTGAACTGCTGGTTGCCAATTCCACTGCGTTGTCATTATACAAGTCTTAAGTTAGAATTGGGTTGAGTTCAAAAACATGTCTGCTTTCTCCAGGTCTATGAGCTGATGTGATAAAGGCCATCATTTTCATCCAGAAAAAAAACGCCCAACAATCTTCATTGCACAGAGCTCCAAGGATGTTACTTTTAGAATCCCTTAACATGTTTAATGTCAACCCTAGCAGGGTGTTCTCTCTCTCAGTGAATGATTCAGAATTGCAGTGCTCCCCCAGAGCAACGATAGAGGCTCAACATACTACAGGAAAGATGCCAACACCCTGGGACAGGTCCCATAGTGAGAGTAATAATAAAACTCCACTACAACTACTCATAGTACTGTTATCAGCAGTGGTTTGGGGGATATTTTACCCTTTGTTTATTTTTTAGGGGACCGTTACATGTCATATAAGATGTTTTAAATTGTGAATTTGACATGGGAAATAAGCCAGGTATACTTTGGTGTGCCCAGAGCACAGAGGGAGAGAGCACACTGGGGAAATAAAAGCAGCAAGTACTGTGCAGTTCCCTGAGTGGACTGGTGTGATGCAGTGTGGTAACAGGAAGAATGAAGCCACCACTGCAGTCACCAGGCATCTCAGGCTGCTGGCTGGTAATCACATCTGTCTGGGACTGTTGGGATGGCAGTACCACCAGTCAGGGAGGAAAGGAAGGAAAACTGATAGAAAAAAACCCTCAACAAAACAGCCCCAACAAAACAGACCCAAACAAAAAAGAAAGAGTGAAAAAACTGCAGGACTAGATGATCCTTGTGGGTCCCTTCCAGCTTGGGGTACTCTACAGCTGTATGATTCTATGTTTCATCAGTGTCTGCTAGTCACACCAGAATGACTAAACCTCAGTTAAACCCTGCAAGCTATCTAAAAATAATGGTAGATTTTAATCTTTGCTCAAGATAATTCAAGGTATTTTTCTCTCTCTCACATATTACTTGTCTCAGTAATGTCAGGACTGACATTAAAGCAGCTTCCCTAGCATAGAGGAGAAGTTATTACTATGTTCCCAGGGTTTAAAGATGAATGCCTTTTAATATAAAAGTTTCCTAGCAACTTGTGTTCTGAGCCCAGAACATATTCCAGAGGCAGTGATGCTTTCAGCATTGTCTCCATCTGAGGCAGTCGCTGTGCTCTGCTGCCATTCCTGCCTCCACAACCCACAGCACTACAGAGCAGCAGTCTCCTCTCCCTAGGTTCCTCTCCTCACCGTCTCCCACTTTTCTCTTACACATGAAAACATCTACCCACCCTTGTCTAGTGATGTGTATCTGTTGCTTTTCTTCGGTGTTCTGAGGGAGCATCTCCTTTTCCCTCACTGAGTATCAGTCTCCTGAGTATTTGTGGCTCTCACATTACTTAGACTGCACATGCTCCAAACTAGGTAGCCCTTTTATCTGTGTTTGGAGAGCTGTGGACAGCAGAAGGATGGTCCCGGAACTGCACCAGCACCTACCCACCTGCAGCACCACATTCTCCAGCATTGTGCACGAACACAGAGCAAGAGCAGGGAGCAGGAGCACCTTCCACATCAGGAACTGCATCCCACAAGAGAAATAAACACAGGAAATTGCTTAGCAAACTGGGTTTTTTATATGATTGGGGAAGAGGAAGGAAAGGGGAAAGTAAAGGAAAGGAAGAAGGAAAGGAAGAAGGAAAGGGGTAAGGGTTATCCTGTAACTCCTTTAAAAGGGAATCATGATCCAAAAGGTTATGGCCAGGCCACTAAGTCTTGAGGAAAATCCTTTGGAGTGTGGGTGTAGAGACTCAGATCTGTGACAGAAGGTTCTTCTTCCCAGGAGCAGATCCTGACCAGACCACCGCCCACTCTATCCAGGGTTCCCCTCTCATGATCAGGGCTCTCCAAGTGCTGAGAGAAACCATAGGGGAGGGAGGGCACAGGTAGGGAGATGGGATGCTGGGGAATTTGTGAAGATTGAGAGGAGAAAAAAAAATTTCACCCCTGACTATTTCTTGGAGGAATCGGGCCCAAATGCTAGGATTGTAAAGTGCAAACAGACAACTGTCTGTCTGGCAACCTGAAAAAATACTAGAAATACCAGTAGTGGGTACTGCTCTTCCCCTCGAAGCAGGGGATGCCAGCAGAAAGGCATGTTTAGGGATCAAACACAAGTTACACAGTCTCAGAGGGAACAGTGCCTTCCTCACACTGAGGTGCAGCTGGTTCTCAGCAACTGAAGGGTGGATATCACAGAATCACAGACTGGTTTGGGTGGGAAGGCACCTTAGAGCTCATCCAGTGCCACCCCTGCCATGGCAGGGACACCTCCCACTGCCCCAGGCTGCTCCAAGCCCTGCCCAGCCTGGCCTTGGGCACTGCCAGGGATCCAGGGGCAGCCACAGCTGCTCTGGGCAACTTGAGCTGGGGCCTCTCTACTGAGCTGTCTGTAGCTTGGGTGGAAGTGCAGCTCTTTCTGGCTTTCACAGTTCCCAGCAACATTTGAGGATGTGTGGCATTAGGAACCATACAATGTGCAAAGGCCAAATAATCCAGATCCTAAAGGGACATTAGCTTTGCCCCGAGCACTTGCTGGTCTCAGAGGAATAGGAGGGCAGTGGGATTTCCATCAGTTTCCTGCTAAGTCAGGCTGTTCCAGCCCTGACTGCAAGGACGCAGACTGCTAGTGAACAGTCTACACAGCAGCATCTACGAGCAACATGTGAGCTCTTTTGTGATCCCTTTCTCACTTATTTACTGCAAAAACATACTAATGAAGTTTTGCAAACACAAGGGTAGGCAGAAGCAGCTGAGAAGTCAGTGCAGCACACACTGTCTGTGGTTTTGTGATACAGCATTTGCTTTAATGCATCCCTCAACAGCAGGTTGCAAGACTGAGTTAGAGAAGCTTCAAAGAACATTTCTTTCAATTTACTCAGTTCCTACAAGGAGAAATTCATTTGTAATGTCACAGAATACATCTTGATTCCTTCATTTCACAGCCGTTCTACAGTGCCCCATCCCATTAAATGAAGGTGCCTCACACCAGCTGTGCCAGCTCTGAACCCTGCAAAGTGCCACAGGGAACACAAAGCCAGGAGTCAATCACTGGCACACAGAGCTCTCTGCCAAGGGCTGGACAGGCTTTGGAGTTGCCTTAGGACAGGTAGGAAACCTTCCTTGGGTTTGTTTATAACACAGGTCATTCTGAAGCTGTAGGGAATATACTCTATACATGGACCTGATCTTGTTAGCAGGCCCTTAATGTTTGCATATTATGGGATCTCTAGGCTGAGGAGTCAAAGTTGCCCAGAAAAATTCTAACACATAGTTCCTTGCAAAGGGAGCCATGACCCCACCCCAACTGCTTTGAGAATTCATGCACCTGCCTCAGAGATTTCTTCCACAGGTCAATAAGGATGTGAGTCCCTTTTCTTTGATTAGGGCAAATGTGAAGCAGAAATGGCTTTAGGGGAAAAGTTGTCTTTGTGCATCGGGGGCTGGTGGAGGAGAGAAAGGCTCTTCATTTCCCTTTGACCCCAGAAATCAGACCCCAGGCGCCTCCATTTGGGAGCCGGTGCCTTGCTGAGCACAAATTCCTTGATGCC